TTTTTTTTGTTAGGTTGGTAGTACTGTCAGTCACATTTATGTCAAATTTCATGTCAAAACATTCATTAGTGTTTGAGATACGTGTCATTTTGTGAGCTGCTAAAAGTGAGTTTTTCCTTTTTTTGCGATGTCGAAATTTGTTGAGCAAAGAATTTGCATTAAATGATCACCAAAAACTGATCCCATATCGTTCCGCAACCACCGTATTCACCTGATCTGGCGCAGTGCGACTTATGGCTGTTCGCCAAGCTCAAAAGACCGGGGACACTGTATTTATACGATAGAGGAGAAGGCGGAACTGAAGGCAATCCCGGAAAGTGACTACAACCAGTGTTTCGAAGATTGGAAAATCCGTTGGCATAATGTACTACATCTAGTGGAGATTGCTTTTAAAGGGATGAAATTGATTTGGAAGAATAAATACAAAATTTTCAAAATAAATACAATGTTACCTTATTTTTTGGGCACAGGTACTTGTAGTATCGCCAGTCTCTATTAAGCTGTTATAGTATTTTTAAATCATCCGGTTGCTTTTATTCCATATATATCGGTCTATCTTAGGCGAATGTACTATCAAGATTTGATGCCAAAATTTAGTGAAATCGACAAATAAAATACAAAAATAACTGTAGTTGTTTTTAGAGGTATGGTTTTCAAAGAGACGATATTTTTTCGGAGTTTTTTCGGAGTTGGTCTTCTTGACTTCATTTATATACAGTTTAATTTGCCATTTCATAATGCACAGACTTACTCCGGAAGAAGAACAAAAAGAACTACTATACACTTATCCCGATTAAGCTCACTTTGGTTGAAGGGATGCGTTAATAAACAAAATTGTCACATTTGGAGTGATGGTAATCCACAAGCTATTATTTAAGCGTCGTTATATACTTAAAATTTTATAGTTTGGTGTGCTCCATGGGTAGAGGAAATCATTGGTTAATTTTTATGTGGACAATTTGTGTTTCCAAGAAGACGGTCTACATAAATACACACACCATATACCAATCGAAACAACCAATTTATTGAATGCAACTTCTGATGAGCGCATTATTATTAGCACCGCCCACATTTAGTTGAAATCTGTATCTGAGGACCCGACCTGCAGATTTCAACCAAACTTGACTCATGGCATTTTTGAGTTATGGAGTGAAAATTGGTGAAAGCAGACTACTGATTCGCCTACTTCCCACATAACACTATTTTTCGTTTGAAACCTTCACTTTACCATATACAAATCAAAAATAAATTAACAAGTCAGGATAAAATTGTTCACGATTAGTGCTCTTAAGGTATGCCACCTTACAACGAAAAAATTTTCAAACCGAACCAAAAATGTTGAAGCCTCTATATACTGAATAAGCGGACCCCAGTACTTATAGTTGATTTTTTCCCCAGTAAATGTGTAAGATATGTAATTGAAATTAAGGGGTATTTGTTTCCTTAGAATGATATATCAGTTTGACGAAAATAAGTTAAACCGCATCAAATGCTTCTCTTAGCTCCCATATACCTCATATAAAGATTTTCGACTTCCGGGTTTACTTTGTACGGCACATATCGGCCAATATGTGAGTTATCTCAATGAAAATGAGAGAGCGTAATTTGCTTTAGCTTAGATGCTTAGAATGAATAAACGCCTAGACCCTATTTAACTAATGGGCGTTATATACCTGAAAGTACTTGCCTGGCCTCAATCCTTGCTAGTTGCAATAGTATGATATGTTCTGTTAAAACCAAACCGAACGCTTGCTTACTTGTAGTTTCTATACCAAATACGACATAGTATAACAGTTAGTATGCCATTCATGATAATACATATTTTCCATTTAAAAAAATTTATTTAGTCTTAAGATATTAAAATTTTTTAATTTTTTAATTTTTTGGTTTCTTCCAAAAACTTTGTATGACTGATTTTGACGATTGTATCACTTTTACTGATTGACCGCGAAGTGATGGTATTTAACAAAAGTATTCTGCACTCTGTGCTGTCCTCAGCTATTCTCTTTTGAGTTCGTTGTTAAGTAAATAAACACAAAGTCTGGTACATAATGGTAGAACAGGGCTCGGCAAGGCAAGATACTTCATATTTGCGCTGATTTAGGAAAAACAGAAACAACATACCATCACTATGGACGCGATCATAAGCACCTCGGTGATTATGGAGCAAATACAGAAAAAGATGCTGCCATGATTGGCATTATTTTAACTCTATTTATAATTACCACTTTGAAGGTAAACCCAGACTGCGTCTTCAAGTTAACTACCTGCTCATAAAATTGTTGGCGCATGCGCATGTGTGTTTATTCAAAGTGTATATTTATTTGAGTTTTACTAGGAAGATAGAATATCTCGCATATACTATACTCTCATCAAAGATAATAGCAGAGCTTTGTTGTCATTTTATTGGAAAGCATTAAAAATTCTAATCGTCTGCTAGGCGCGCACTTAACAACCTGATTGAGCGGAGCTGCCGCGACGTCGAGTGTATAAAAATAGCAATGGTTGGAAGAGTGAATTTGTATCAAGCACACGATGCGCATAGCAATAACTGCGATACAAATGGAAGCAGCATTTTGTTAATTGGGCTTGCGAAGAAGATGAAAGAGATTGCACGAAAACAAAACAAAAGAAACGCACCAAAATGTGGCTTATAGTCTTCCACACATACATAGATACATAACTAAGCTTCAATTTATGAGCAAGAGCGGGAGAGCAGCAATGAGTATGCTTGTGTATACCATATTGAATGGTTAGTTTATGTTTCGCATGGGCCAACGATCTACTAATGATGCTCAAAGCAAAATGCGAAAGTGAACTCTGGCCTTAAACCGTCTTCATTGAAAGCAACACTCGGTCCGCTTGTGTCCACGCTCAAGAATTCTGCAGTCTTGCTAATGCGATTTTATTCTAGCCGCTCACAAGTGCTGCGGTTTAAGTAGTTAAATAAGGAAACGCATAGCGGCAGTACCAATTTGGCAGGTGAACGCCTAAGACATTGAGACCAAGCCAGAGTTTGTGAAAGTGAAAAACGTTTGTTTTAGTGAGGAAGTTGCAATAGTGGTTTTAAAAAAAAAAAAAAACATTTTTTTATATACAGTTTTTTAAGTAATAAAATCATGTCAAAATTTGGGCTTATGCTGCTCTTACTCGGCACAACAATGGTGCTCTGGCAACAGGCTGAGGCCAAACCGCTATTCTTGTTGTCAAAAAATTTCTTCACCCTTAGAACTAGAGGTGAGTAGAGTGTGAGCTTTAACTAATCGAATGAAGGGACTTGTTTTGAGAAAAAAACTCTCAAACTATGTGTTTTTGAGAATAGAAGAGGGCAAACGCGGACTTTAGTCGTAGAGGGACTAGTTCAAGGACGAAAAGAAAATTACATTTGGATCTAAACCCAACTTATGGTTCCCTATTCCTTTAACTAGTCGAGAGAAATCGGTTAGTTTTTTTCAGATTGGTAATAGTTTACAATGTCAGGTTACCTTAAATTTACCAAGATTGAATTTACCGTCGAATACTTTTTCGAAGTTCTTCATAAAACAGAGTTTTTAATCAAAGTGATACAACTTGTAGAGTTTTATATATGAATATCGAAGAAACTTTGTACTCAGGTTCAACTTATTGCATAGAAAGAACTCAGGAATATAACACACGTTCTCAGCGGATTTCATCGCGTACAAAAAGCTATACAACTCAAGAACCTGCGCATCGAAAAACACATATACGAAGATTTTAGTTAAAAGGACTTGTTGCAGAGCGCAGGCTACAGAATAATGTAGATTATTTGGGGTCAGGAATTAAAAGCATATCCGGGTAAAAACCTACAAATTTTCATAAGCAAAGCAAGGAAAGATTTCCAGATAAACTCAAAGCTGGTACAAAAAATGTTGCGAAGCGAAAATAGAAATTTTTAGAAATACACTTTACGTGCTTCAAAAACTTCGAGAGAAAAGTTTATTATTCAGGCGGTTAACAGAGCAGCATAACAATTAGGATTCTTTGCAAGGAATCTGTCGTTGAATCTGCATTATTAAGAGCTTAAGCAAATAATTAAAAAAGTAGAGTTAACCAAACCTAAGCTCTACAATCGCAAAATAACCAATAACTCTTATCATATGAAACATTCTTCTTCCAGCACCTTCCACTGGCAGTGGCTATTCCTACTCACCAAGCTCATTAGCAAGTGGTGGGCTCGCTCAACTACCTGTTGGCATCATAAGTAGCAAATTGGGTCTGATCTCCAGTCTACTTTCCACTTTTGGTGGCGGCAGCGGTGGTGGCGGTGGCGGTTTTGGACTTGGCTTCAAATCCAATGTGGCTGCCACGACACGCAGACCAAAGAAGACCAGCAAGAGCACAACCGAACCGAATACTGTCTTTACACCGGAGACAAGTACAAAAGCTTATACAACAACATCAACGACGACCACTGCGGCACCCGAGGAACCTGTGAGCACAACCACTGTTGCCACAATCGATGTCAATCCAACGGTGATCGCACAGCGTCCAGCTGCCATTGAACCGACGGAAGTGAGCGAAAGTGTAGCTGGCAGCAATGTAAATAGTGGGTTCGAAGTCATCTATGACAACACAAATAATGGAGATCAGAGTGGCGGTTTGGCACTGACGAATGCAGAGGGTACTTCCAATGCTTTTTCAACAGATGGTGCCAGTGGCGTTAATGCTGCTAGCTCTAGTGGTTCTAATGGTGGATACGAAGTCATTTACTCCAACTCTGGTACCAATGGTTCGGAAGCTTCTGCTGGGGTCGGAGGTTCAAGCGGATTTGGAGGTTCAGGCGGATTCGGACTTTCAGGTGCAGTTGAAGGTGCAGTCGGAGGTGTGGAGGTTTCAACAAATGGTGCCAGTGGCGTTAATGCTGCTAGCTCTAGTGGTTCTAATGGTGGATACGAAGTCATTTACTCCAACTCTGGTACCGAAGGTTCGAAAGCTTCTGCTGGAGCCGGAAGTTCTGCCGGAAGTTCTGGCGGAAGTTCAGGTGGATTCGGTTTTTCTGGTGCAGTTGGAGGTTCTAGCGGGTTTGGAATTTCTGGCGCTGTCGGAGGTGCTAATGCTTTCGGAATTTCCGGCGGAGTTGGAAGCTCTAGCGCAGCTGGAAGCGCAAACTTAAGTGCTGGTGGTCTTACAAATAGTGGCCTCACGAGCGCACGCCCTTCAATAAATGGCTACAACTATAATAAGCCGGAAGACACAAGTGTGAACGAAATTTTCGGCGGAAATTTGAGCAACACTTACGTGCCAGTATATAGGTACAGATAGAAGAAGCGCGATGGAATTGTACTTAGCGATCATGGATCAAATCATAATTTTTCTAATTTACTATTTAGCTTTAGCAGTGTGTGTTACGAAAACGATTTGTTAAAATAAAATAAAAACTAAAATATTAAGGAAATAATTAGCCACTTATTCCATCCGTATTTATTATCACGCTTATTGGTAAACGAAAATTCCAGCTTTTTGCGGAAGCAATAATTTCATATTGCGTAATTTCGCCAAAACTGGAAAGTGTAGCAGCCGAAAACAGGTAAGCGCTTCCACCCAGATTTGCATACAATTCCGCTATGCGCCTGCAGAATTCCGAACCAATTATTTGCATTCTGGCCAATCTCGTATTGCCTTTTCTGCTGCGGCTTGTTGACATGTACATATTTCGCTTGCTTTTTTGTTTGCTTTTGTCTTCTTGATTTTATCATTCGCATGAGATTATATCTGTTGGCTTTAAGACATTAAACGGCTTTAAATAAACACAAGTGTGTACAAATGTATCGAAGTTGGCGTGTAGGTGTCGTGCTTTGACAAAAGGCGACTAAACGAATGGCTAATAAAATTTATTTTGAATATTTCGTGTTTCATTTCACAACTTTTGTTTAGAAAAGCAGCACAAAAAGAGTTGAAAAAAAATTGAAAAAATTCGCTATAAAAGCGAATATTAAAGCCAAAATATGGTTGTTAAGAAAGTCTTGCGGTATTTTCGCTAGTTGGCGCTGAGAGCACGTAGTTCTAGTTTTATTCGTCGCATCGGGTCATGATATACCTTTTTGGAAAGCTCATTTTACGCGCTAACACGTGTTTGATTGACTGTCGTTTCTTTTAAGTCGTTCGTGAGTTATAGCGTCGCAAACATGGCGCAAAATAAAGAGAAAAACGGCATATTTTACAGTACTACTACGATAAAGGCAAAAATGCATCTCAAGCCACCAATAAAATTTATGCAGTTTATGGACCCGATACAGTTTCCATTTCCACCGCACAACGATGGTTTCAACGTTTTCGTTCTGGTGTAGAGGTGGTCGAAGATGCGCCACGCT